GCAAATATGCAGACGCAGACTGGCGAAAGAATGCTGAAATTGAAGATGCGATGCACTGGATGCTTGCATAACGAATCTCGGTGGTGTGAGTGTGTGTGGATTGCTTATTGTACTGTGGTGTTATCAATGGTTATTGTTAGCGGCTTCTGTTGACAACTGGAGCTGGAAGAGGGTATATTAGCTAGGTTAAAGAATATAGAATTTATCAATAAGATTTTTATTGATATTTCCATAATGTTTCAAGCCTTTCTCTCCCAAAAGCTGGCCTAAGAATTGAAGTTAAACTAAATATAATTAATTACAAATATAACTAAAAACGAAAACGAAAAAAACTTTTTATCTTTACAAACTTTATAAGCAGCTTTAAGGCTACCCCAACACATTTCCAATATCGTTTTGATACTTTTACTTTCTTAACTACTTTTCCTTCTCTTATTTATAATCCCTAAATCAAATATTTAAGGATTTTACTACATTTTTTTATGATATTCAGATTGATTTCGATTTTATAACCAACTATATACCTGCCAAACTTTTATACACCTGCTCCTCAGATTGGCAATCTAAAATCCTTGCTTGTAAAAGAAAGCACTAAAGTTTATGGCTAATTAAAAACCAAATCGATATACAGCAAGTTTTTTATTAAATAACATTTTTATAATTTTCTGATGTCTTTAATGATGTATTTGTATAATTTTGTAATGGCTATAGATACTATACTATATATCTTAAACCATTTGATTTCTGGTTATAAAATTCACTATAGAAAGGGTATCTAAAAGGCAAAGACCTGCTGTATAGCAATTCCTGATGTTATTGCATCGTCTGCCGCAATGTCTCCCGCCTGGTAGACATTTTCTACGGCTCCTCCGCCAACAAATCCGCATCTTCCGTCGTGGTCTGGACCACCGTTCCATCGTCTATGAGTTGAGATGAGATGCCATGCCCGAGAGGAGCACATGGGCATGTCATTTCTTGGCTTCGTCGAGCATCTTTGGCATTTCTCAAATTTGCTTTTGTGTTTGGATTGGTTTTGGTATTTCCCCACAATCCCAACTCGATTTTTCTGTTCCTCATTTTACTTTTTCTGCTGCAGCAGATTTATAATTATTCATTGGTTTTCGCAGCCTTCATCGGTTGGAAATGCAAATCAAAATTCACATCACGTATACGAGTAGTGGGCTGAGTGAGAATTTTTATATAATAGTGTCTCATTGGTATAAGGAAAAACCTCATTAAGAAGCAGGAAAATAATAAATTATTTTAATGGCTTTTCTTGTTTAAGGAATATATATTTTCCACTAAGTTTTCCCTTTAAATTTTTTAACTTTTAAACTTATTTTTAATAATATTTCGAGAAGCAAACTTATTAGGCATTAAAAAATAGTATAATTTATTCAAACTCTTTAAGTTATTTCACTTATTTCTGCCAGCCCACAAAATGCAGCTCATTATTTGGTTGAAAAAAAAGAGCCTGTCAAAATTGAATAGGGAAAAGCCTCGTTGGCCAAAGAAAAGCTTTAAAGGGGAAAAAAGAAAATAAAACACAATGGTAGGCAGTTGGTCTATTAGCAGAGCGCAAGCTGCCACCGCATAATGAAAGCGAAAATTTAAATTTTTGATACAATTTGCAATTTTTCCGCGCTACTTTTACCCTCCCCCCCTCCACCGAAAACTCACTCCCACTCCATAGCCAACGCTCCACTCCATCATTCAGCGATCTCCTCCAGTTTCTAGTTGCAAGTTTCCTTGCCTCAGTTTTCAGTTTCAAAGTTGCCCACAAGCGGGGCAACAGTCGACAAGTCGACAAAGAAAACAATTCATCATGTTGTACATGGAGGAACCTTTTGGTTTTCCTCCGAAGCTGCAAGCCCCAGCTTCAATTTATGCGGCGCTTAAATCGATTGCTTTGCCACATTGCGGCAATTGGATCGGTACTCCTCGGGTTTGTTTCCTTTCCCCCTCCCTCCCTGCTGCGAAATGCTCCCCCATCGTGCAACATCGAGAAGTCGTTGTCGTTGAACCGTAAAACTGAAATATGAAGCGGTGCACGAAGGGGGGGCTTTTTGGGTGATGCTTTGCGGGTGGATTGTTGATCCAAGAGTGCCAAGAGCCTGGCATCGCGTTGAGTGACCACGGACCACGGACCGCGAACCGCGGAACAGGCTCTTGCTTCATTAAGCTATTCATCCATCCATCCATCCATCCATCCAGTTAGCCATCCATTCAGCCAGTTCGATCCACTCGATGCGATCGTGTTGTTTTATTTCGCTCTTAAATTTGCGCTAACTAGATGTCGCAATTGAAAGTAAGCTGTCAAATATTATCGACGGGGGTGTAGGTAGGTAGGTGTAGGTGAGCGGCAGCATAAAGCCTCATTATAATGAAGAAAAGGATTTGAAATCGAAACGGTACGGCGATGATGGCTAAGAGTGGTAAAAAGTATGGCAGGAATTTCATAAGAGATGGAAAGACATGAGGAAATGCTCAAGAAAATGGTCTATAATCTACATTTGTTAACGTATTCAAGCTAAGCTTACATTCTTAACTAGACTCATTAAGTTCTTCTTCCAAAATTCCTTTAAAATCATTAGCAGTTTGGCCTAATCTGAAAGTCTACCATCTTAACCTTGGCAAAACTGAAGTTTCAACATTTAGCTATTGCGGTTTTTGATTTGCCAATGTCAATGGACTTGAAAGGCGTTAATTTACGACGAGTTCTTCGATTGCCTCAGAATTGGCAAATAAAACTTTCATTCCGCCGAATATCAAAGTTCAAGTTCAGCACTTTATTAACATCTTTTTTTGTGCAATTCTAAAAAACATAACAACGATCCTCAATTGAAGTTCAAGGTTAAACATCAAGGACTTGTTCAGCTCTTTGAAGTTTTCGCAAATGATTTCTCTTGACCAAAAAAGCCTCTCGAAATCTTACTTCAACATGGTCGTGTGCAAATTTAATTACTGAATCATAGCTGAAGCCTTCAAAGTTTGAGAAATGCCCGGCGGCTAGGCAAATAATGAAAAAACCAGAAAAGAAAGGTTGTCCGAAGTCTTTAATACCCTTGTCAAAGTTTTTCTTGTTTTTTTTTGTAGCAAAACATTCCAGTTTCAGGTGACAGGTATATTTTTGGGTTGCCATTTAAATTCTTCTCAATCCGCAAATTTACTTAAGAAAAAACCAAAAGCTGACATATTTTTCTATTTGGTTTTAAGTCAAAGAGCCCTCCGGCTAAAAGTGACTACAAAACATGGTAAATCTGTCGGATTTCTTAGCAGCCCAACTGCTGGTTATAATTGTTAATCATAATTTATGCTAATTTTTGTTAGCACCTTTTGAGCGGGCAGCAGCGTTTCACCAATTCATAATGTTTGTGATTTGTAAGACAAACAAAAGAGTCCAAGAGCTGCTGGCAAATTCTCAATTTTTTTTTGTAGCCTTTTAGTTTTGTTTTTGTTGGAATGTGGCCAGAAGAAACGTGTTTTCTAACAAAGGCCGACGCTTAATGGGTCGACAAATACAAGCGGCAATAAATAAATAATAAAAAGAAAATGCCCAAAAGGGAGGGGGTTACACACTTGATCTCTGTTTGTGTCTTTGACTGGGGGGAATCGTTAAGGTAGAGTCGTAGATATATGTGGGCGATGATCTCACCATTTAATTGGCCCCAAAACCAAAACGAATCTCGCTTTTTGGCCCTGTCTTCCCCCCCAAAAAAAAACTTTCTTGTTATGGATGTGGCGTGCGCTTTGACCGAATTCGGACTAAGATGAATGGTGCCACAAATGGGGCATCTACGGTTGACGGTTGATGGTGCCACAAATTAAAATCAAATCCCATTCCGCCCGCCTTATCGTGTAATTTTTTGTTAAATCGTAATTATTTATGCAAATTCCAAATGTCTGACGCACCAAAAATAAAAAAAACAAACCTAATGCATTTCCACTTAATGCATTTGGACAGTGCGGAAAGCTGCATACGAATTTGCATTAGAATTGTGATTGACAGTCGGCGCACATGGCGTATACGCAATTATGGATGCAACTGACTATTCTGACATTTCCTAGATTCTGCCTTGGGCTCAAAGTCCATTCGTGAACATACATATATACCAGCCCTAGGGTTCTAAATGTGATCTTTCAAATGGAGAACAGCTTTTGAGTTTACTTTAGACCCAAATAAAATCACTGCTAGATGGTTTTTAATTAACCCATTTTTAGTCATTTGCACATCCGGCAATTCGGGCAGGAAATGACTTCCCAGCGCCAGCCAAGATTGAAAGGCACATTATACGAAAAATCCACAAAATGTAACTTGTCAATGCAAAAACAAATGTCAAAAAATTAGTATACAGTGGAGGCTAAGAAAAATGTGTTTTTTATTTTAGTTGGTGGTGTAACGAAAAGTTTTAGTATGTTTTGTGTTTTTGTTAAGTTTAAAATATTTCCCACAATAAAGATTTGTGCTTAATTTTAAAATATGTTGTAATTTTCAGATACATTTTATTATGAGAAAATTTGAGGATTGTTTAAGATTTTTAAGGATTTTTTTTGCAATTTTAAAGTTTTTTCTAAGAATATCTTTAAACATGAAGTTTTAGAAACTATCTTTTCGCTTAATCTTTTCTATCTTTAACATAATTATATAAAAATCCATAATACCTAAATCTCATTAGAACTTAGTTCTTTTAACTAGAACACAAATATCAGAAGTCCCACTGTCTGGCTAAAAAAAAAAAAACAGTTGCCAAACACGGCTTACAGTTAATGATAATGATACGACTATGATGACGATGTGATGATGTTATTAGGAGCAGAGCCCGTTTGTCTCTCAGACAGGCCGACGACAAAGATTGCGATCTCAGGCAGCCTAACTTCAGTTTATGAATTTTGTATTTTTTTTTTTTTTTTTTTTTTTTTTTGTTATTTTTTTGGTACACCTAATTGATTTAATAATCAAGGTTTTAAAGCGGCTTCTGCGATTTTTTATTTCGTTTCAGGTCTCCAGCGAGCGAGAGAGCGTGAGAGAGCAAGAGCGCGGAATATAGAGAGCGGACAAATGAGCCACAGAGAGAGCGCGCGAGAGAGTGGAGCCAAGCACTTTTTCTTGGCGCCGCAACTTCAGTTTGAATTCGTCGTTCGGTCGGTTCGGTTGTTCGGTTCGCATTACGCAGTCGAAAGCGAGTGCTCAGTGAGTACCAAGTACTGAGTACTGGAGTGATTAAGTGCGCAGGCGTCGCGTTCGAGATGCTGGGATAACACTATATAATGTGAAAAGTTCATTTCCCCAAAAAATAAAAATAACAACAACAAAAAGCCACAAAAGTCCGGTCTACAAAATAAAAAGTGTGCAAAAAATAAAATGTAGGCAAGTTAAAAGCAAAACACAACAACAACAAAAGCCTAAAAAAGAGATAAAACTCTGCAAATACGGGTTTCGTTCTTATCGCGTTCTTCTCGGTTTTTTGTATTTTGTTTTTGTATTTTTTCGCTGCCCAAGTGCTTGACCATTAAAAGAAGAAAAAAAAAAGAACCTTTTACACACACACACATACATACGCGTACAGTGCCAGATCCTTAAGCCTCAACTTGGCGTTATTTTTAGACGGTTAACGAAAAAAAAAACAGAATCTGGGAAAGCCAAGAAACCAAGAAACCGAGAAACCCGCCAGCAGAAAGGCAACAGAAATGGGCACCAAGTCACCTGGTGGTCCACAGCGCTGCCGTCTGATCTTGCAGCGCTGTTTGGCCATTCAGCTGACCAAGCCCGGCCACACGCCCGAGGACTTTTGGATGTACGACTCGGGATATATGATATTTCAGGTGAGTTTCGATTGATGCACGGTGAGAAAATAGGGGAGAGATGGTGATGATCTATAAACAAAAAGGTGACATTTTTGGTAGAAGTTTAGAGTTGCTCTGGGAAATCATTCTTAAAAGCTATTAAGCAAGTCATAAAAACTATTTTCTTTGACAGAAAACTATATTTAAACTAAATGCAGTTTCTACTCTAATATTTTCTTTGGCAACATAAACATTTTCGAAGATTTATGTGGCATTGCAATATATTTTTGTCACAAAAATAAGCAGTTTTTGTTATGTTTCTGAAACTTAGAACTATAAATTACAGTCCTGGAAAACTAAGTGACTTGTTTGTTTCTCTCAGCATTTGTTTTAAGTTTAAACCCAAAACTTGAAATATGTGAAAAGTAAAGTAAATTTATAAACTTAAAAGACTTCAAATTAGTTGGAAATATAAGAATATCCTTTAAAATCATAAGGATTAATAAAATTTTTGCTTAATTAGTTGGGAATTAAAAATAGAGCAGCCTTTATTGGAATTCAAATTAAAGAACCAGTTAGTAGAATAAGATTTCCTTAAAATATAATAACGATTTTCACATTTACGGCTTAAGCTGATTAAAACTAGTTTAGTGAGAAAGATAAACAATTTCGCGTTGAATAAATTAATTTACTCTATCAAAGAGAGCTAAGAAATTCTACTTTGAATAAGAATTATCAAAACACAACTTAAATTTCGGAATTTCTTAAAGGAAGTTTAAATTGTTTACTAAATTCTCAACTGGCAATCACTTTCCTTAACATTTCTGTGAGTGTGGCCCCCGCGTTGCTTTCAGCTTCTTCTGCTTTTAATGTGGAAGGAACTGGTTTGCAAACTGGTTGGCCAGTTTGAACTGCAAAAAGTGCGTGAGTCTGGAGAGGGCGAGGGAGAGGGCGTTAAACTAAAGACAGAAAGAGACAAAAGCTAGCAGGAGGTGACGATGGACTAAAACTCCCGCTCAAGGTCGCCAATGTAGGGGGTTTTGGTGGTTTGGCCTGGCGTTTTCCTTTATTATTATTCGCGACCACTTCCCATGAAAATAAATGGCCCGGAACGAACTGAGGAGGGAAAAACAAATTCCCCCCCCCTTAACAGGTTGCCCGCCCGGTTGTTCTGTATTTTTGTCGGGGCGTCATCTAGACTAGACCCAGACTGCCACAAACATTGCATTACATTTGCAGCAAACATATTGCAACTTGCAACATTTGCCATTTTCGTGTCCCGTTCTTTATTACCCCACGGCCTTTGTTATTGATGACTTGCGAAAAAGAAGCCAAAGTCTCCGAAAACTTTTTGGCCAGGAAGCTCGTTCTGTGGCCCCTCTAGATAATGTCCCAATGTCCCAATATATATATACTCGTATAACTTATGAGTTCATGGAACCCTTAAGGCAGAAGATCGAAGTTAGCTTTATTTTATGATATTTTAACTCGTTTTTTTACTGAATTTTAAATCAGTTTTTGTGCTTTTGTTTGCCGGCGGCTGCTGCTTCCGATGTTTTGCAAGCTTTTTCGGTTGCTGATTTTTATTGTTGTTCTTGCCATTGTTTATTGCACAAATTGCCGCATGACGTCATTCTGGGCTGACAAGTTCAAGTTTGAAGTGTTAATTGATGCGCTGCCACATGATGAGCTAAAAATTTTGAGAAACTTTGAATATTTTAGCTAATGGTTTGGCTTAGAATACCTGAATGCCGGTAGTAGTCTTTGGAATTGGTTTTTAACAAGTAAAGTTGTTAGAAAATAAGGTTTAAGATGGGAAGATTATGAAATATCTTTGTTTAAGCCATGTCTTTGTATAAATATTAATGGTTTCTGTAAAGTTATTTTACTAATTGCTTCAACTTTAAAGAGTTTTACACATTATTACTGCTTGACATTGGAAAATATTCTTAAATTTTCTAATAAACTTAAAGACATCTTTTTAGCTTTTTAGCGACTTCTTAGAAACTATAATTATATTCTTTATTCATCTAATAAACCTCTTAATGTTGTTATCTACCTTAGTATCATAACAATAACAATTACAAGATCTATTTGTAGTTTCCACCAACACCTCGCTGTGAATCACTTCATTTACTCACAATACAGGGTAATTTCAATTTAATTGCTGGGCTGCCAAAAAGTGTGAAACATGAAAAGGCATTGCCGCCTTTTTTTTACATTTTAGCCAAGCTCAATTTGTGTTGTTCTCGTTTTTTGTTTCGTTTTTTATGCGGTTTTTTGTCTTTTATATTTGCATTGCCTTTTGGGTTTTGCATTTTGCATACTAAAAAGTGCGACATAAACATTCCCTTGAGTAGTTTTTAGTGTGTTATATATATGTATGTATATATAGATATAGAAAACCCAACATGACAATCGCTGGGCATTCATTTGTTGGCTTTTCGAATGAGTCTCGAAGCTGGGCTAATTAATATTACGTGCCACTGGTCGGTCTGTAAAGTTTAACCGAAAGATATGAAGAGAATGCGAAGCGTGCCCTGAATAGAACTCTGAACTATATAAATAAGAGGCAGATGATTTAGAGGGGAGAGGCAGATGAGGCAGTGAGCTGGAGCTGAAGAAAAGTGCGTGAAAAGCTGAGAACATGAATGGGGAAATACAGAATGATGAATGGAAAGCCCTAAGAATTCGACTCGGAAAACGATAATGCAGCAGCAGAATATTTTATCGTAAATTTCGAAGCTCAATGAAGTGTGAATTATGTAGATTGAGGTGCCACGGCGCCTCGAAATTGAGGAAGGGAAAATATTTAATATATATATATCTGGCCTAGGGCGGTGTCTTTTTCACAACCATCGACCATATCGAATGGGCAAGAGTTTCCGGTGCGGTTGCTCAAGTTTTAGGGCGTGCCATAATTTAAATACTTTTTACTCGGCTGAGAAACGCTTATGAGACATTTTTGGGAAGGTTAAAAACTAAACAATGGTGGTTTATAAATTTTCTTATTACCAAAAAAGCCTATGGAAAAAAATATATATATATATTTTTAGGCCCATAAAAAGAGTAGGTTATTAAGAACCTTGAGGTATTCACGGAATTACGTGTAAAATCTAAAATGAGACTTCTGGTAATATCATTAAAGTTAAAAATAGTAAAGAGGAAAGGAAATGTAAAGTAAAATCAATCAAGCAGCACCTTTGTCTTTAGTTTTGCAATTAAGCTGATGAACCAGCATTTTCCCTGCTAAAAACAAACATTTTCGCACTAACCAAACTTTTACAGGTCAACATTAAAACTTAAGTAAATCATAAGGAAGTTAATATTGTAAATATTTGTTACTTGCCTAACGACCATATAAACAAAAGCAATGAATACGATTATAGCTGAGAAGAAAAATGTATATATTTTTAGCAATAATAAATGCGCTAAAATTAAGACAAAGCCCATAAAGTTTCTACCATTTAAGCGTTGAGTTGCCTCGTTTGCCGTTTTTTTCCCAGTAAAGCTCTAAATGTCAGTTTTGGCCGAGGAGGAGGAAACTGATTTAAGGCCGCAATGCCAGACTCAATTTCCAGGCATTTAAAATCTGTTTTTATTATTTGCGCAAATTTGTCAGGCGTGCGGCGTGGCCTGAAACTTGCCAACAAATACTTGCAACTTAAACTTTAGTAACAAACAGCAAACAGCCAAAGACCGACTTGACTCCAAACTCTGATCTCCTGAATGGCCCCAAGCTGATCTCTGAACTGTTTCGTTGTTTTAATTTTTTGTTTTTTTGTTTTTTTTGTTTTAGCTGTTTGTTGTAGTTTTTTTAGCTGTTGCCGTGTTTAGTGTTCGGTTTCACTGTTTAGTGTCTAGCTGCACGCAAATGACTTCACCTAAATCAACTTGTTTTAGTTGTGCTTTTCGGTGCTCCAAGCCAAATTAATAAGCCTGCAACAAGTTTTGAAATAGCTCAACGGATGCGAAGCCCCGCTATTGCGTCATGTCTAGAGCGCGGGAGTTTTTAGTTTTCAGTCTTTTAGCCATTCTGCTGCTAACCTGAGAATCGTCAAGCTAAGATTGCCCAGGCAGGTCCATAAAAAATCACAAATAAAACGCATAAAACTGTTGGCAAAACTGGCTGTTGTATATACATATAATATATATCAATGAGAAATGGAAAGTCTGGGAACGGAATTGTATTTTTGATCGGGCTAGAATGAAGGTAAACCTCTGATCGTTATGAAAAAGCAAAAACGATTTGAAAGGAAGGTTGAGTCCAGACACGAGATGAGATGTGTAGATCCTTCAAGAGGCTTTATGGGAGTTTACAATGTGAATCATTAATAACATTGGCAGCTGTCATATTTCATTTTGCGAGATGTAAAATGTGAGATCATTTTGTGTTAATAAACATTTGTTAAAGTCACAGGTTAATTCTAGGCTTAAAAGTTTGTTTGTTGCTTAAGTTAAAAATCTTTTAAATAAGTAAAAAGTATAAAGTTCAAGCCACAATCCTAAGAAGCAACTGTTTTAAGAGGAAATCTATTTTATAATTTAATCTAAACTCCCCTTCTCTTAATCAAGTTCAACTTAGCTGACTAAGTTTTATAAGCAAAACTATTAACTACCTTCATCTTCCTACTAAGAGTTGGTTTTATAGTATAAACACTTCCTCTTCTTATTACTCAGAATCTTTTTCCTGCTAAACTCCAGCTGGAGAATCAATTTCATCCAGCTGGACAGTAACATTCACCGGTTAGGACAGACTATCCAGCTCCGGAACTCCCATAACCCGAGACTCCTCCGAGTCTCTGCAAATACAATTTCATGCAATCATGAGAAAAAGAGGCAAGCAAATTGATTTATCGGCACGCGGCTCTTACAAACAAAGTCAGAAAGCTGAAACTGATTTGAATTGTTATTAAGCCTCCTGCTTTCTTTGTCCCTCCCCCCTTACCCCCCTTTCTCTTGCTTGTTCGATTGCTTTGATTGGGTTTAATGAAATTGAATCGATGTTGCAATCGTTTAAGCGCAAATTTACTTTTTGT